CGGAGAAGCACTACTGCGCGGACGGGCACCCACAGAGTGGGTGCCGGACGTTAGCTTGCTTTGCCTGCCTCACGATATCCTCCAAATGAGAGAGGCAGTCAGTGAAGTGAACATTTTTGCAAATCCCCTGTACTTGCTTGGGGACGACACGCTCTTTTTTCATTCTCTCTCTCCCTCAGGAATGGCTTTCCTCCCTGCCAGTGTATCCTACCTCATCGGCACCAATCTCTTCGGCATTCTGGCCAACAAAATGGGCCGGTAAGTGGAACACAAGAGATTTCAGCACAACCCAGCCCAGTCCTGCGCTTTCAGCATGAATTACGCTCATGGTGGTGTGCACACCGAGAACATCTGCCCTCTCCTAACTGCCGCCTCGTTGCAGGTGGCTGTGCTCCCTGATCGGCATGGCTGTGGTGGGAATTAGTCTCCTTTGTGTAAGTAGTGCAAGACAATTTCGAGACCTTTCTGTAGAATCAGCAGGGGCTGTGTGAGCAATAGCACTGAAATGGGGTTACGTTCCCGGCAGTCAGTACATGTTCAGTCGTCGCACGTGTGTATGGGTTCCACAAATCTACATTACACCTTCACACCGCACTCAGCTCTTCTGGCCTCATTTGTCTATCCTCTCTCTCTCCTCTCAAAGGTACCTCTGGCCAAAAATATTTACGGGCTGATTGGCCCAAACAGTGGGCTTGGCTTTGCCATAGGTAAGCTGTTGGTGTTCAGGCTGTGCAACACAGCTCAAAGGCAGCTCTCACCACCGCCCTCAGAGAAGGCGATGACTGATCAGGTCCTTCTTGCTTTGGGCAGGAATGGTGGACTCCTCAATGATGCCTATCATGGGTTACCTCGTGGACCTTCGCCACACCTCCGTTTACGGCAATGTCTATGCCATAGCTGATGTCGCCTTCTGCATGGGCTTTGCCATCGGTATGGATGAACTCTTACCCATGGGATGACGTACTCAGTGTGTCTCACTCGATCTATCGCTCCCTTTCCTCCACCCAGCGTTCACTGCAAGCAACTGGCGCTGAGTCTGCAACCCAGTCACCATAGATTTACAGAACCCCTCCAAACTGGAAAGACGACTGCTGCTCTCCATCATCTTAGCCTATTCTAATTTTTAAATTTGCAGGTCCATCCACAGGTGGCGCAATTGTAAGAGCTATTGGGTTTCCCTGGCTGATGATCATCATTGGACTTATCAATATTGCTTACGCTCCTCTCTGTTGGTACCTGCGCAACCCTCCCGCTAGAGAGGAGAAGATAGTGAGTTTAAGTACACCTTATTCTCTTAAAGTACAGGGGATTGATAATCCAGAGATTTGGGGGAGATAAGAATAAATTTGCCAGGGATCGTGTCTTACCTTTTAGGCCCCTTACTCTGCCCTCAACAAAGGGACAGAAAACTCAGGCAATAAAACTAGAAATGTTTAGAGCTATGGTCTTTTCCCCAACTCACAGTTGGTATTCCCTGGGCAAAAGTTGTCAGCTTTCTCTAAAAGTGATAATGCTCCCATCATCTATTCAAATTAATCACCATTTTTACTAAAGCATGATTTCTTCTCTCCTGTACCCAGGCAATCTTAAGCCAGGGATACTCCATGCAAACCAAAAGCTACACCACTCAGAAGACCCTGCGTGATTTCCCTCTCACAGATGACAGTGATGTGGAGGCTGAAAATGTGGAATAGCAAGCGCAAGAATGTGTGCCCTGTTTTGAAGCTATCTTATGTTTAAAGAACATGGATGTAACTCAAGAATAGCCCAGCCTCCCCCAGGACTTGACCTGTTCTCTTGGCCATGCAATCCACGGCAGTGGGGAGACACCCAGGATTTGGAGGCTCTACCTGTTTAGTTAAGCCACTCATTTGCTGTGTGACTTCTAGGCAAGTTACCCAAACTCACTACATCTCATCTGTAAAAAAAGTTACAACGATGAGGAGAACCGTATCTTCCTGTCCTGCAGAACAATATCATCTTGGCCTATCCATGCAGTAGGCGATAATATCAACATCTCTCCCAGATGAGTCCAGTGGCATTTGTTAATGTCTTTAAAGCGCTTACTGATCTTGAAAGAAAAGCACTGGAAAAAATTAAAAAGCAGTCAGCAGCATCAGCCTTGGGAGATTTCTTTCTCCAGAATTCGGCTATAATCCCCAGCATTAAACCTTTCTGGAACTACAGGGCACTATCTGTCTGTGTCACTAATAAAGATGTCACTGTACTGCTAATGTGCTCCATGCTCCTCTGAAGAGTTAAAAAATCATTCCTTGCTGTCTCGGTATAACTTTATGTGTTGTGCTATTTATGTGCTACTTATGGCTACTTGTGTATCCTTGCCAGCATCCATTAAATTAATTCATTTATTTGAAGAATTTCAAGAAATTCAGGTAGAAATAAGGCTGAAAGCAGTTTTAGACACTTACACACAGGCTCAGCCAACAAAGCTTGTTAGATCACTTGTGATTGTGCCTAACAGAGCTTTTTTAAAAATCGCTGCCCCTCAGCTGAGATGGGGTAATGGGCTGTGTTTGTGATTCTAACCCACTGCAATGAGAAGTACAATAGATTGATTAATTGCCCTTTTGCAATTTCCTGGCCACAAGTTTAGAGAGCGAGCAGCTGCACTGCTAGCAATAATTATTGAGTATAATGGTCTTTAAAAGTATGGTAAAGAGAGAGAGAGTGAAGTAACAGAAGTACCAGATTAATTTCACAAGCATCAGAGAAATTCCCGTGATCTCATTTTTTCCAGTGAAACCTCAAACTTACAACTTCTCTGCTTCTACTGTTGGCAGTTGATATAAACTCATTTCTGTCTCGAATAAGCAGTTGTGTAATGCACAGCCACATCACTTGCCAGAAAGAACAGATGATTCACTGCTCTGGAGCCCGAGCAGCACAATGCAGATGCATTTGCCAGCAGGGAAACAGGAGGATAATAACAATTCATCAAGATTCGGTACCTTATGACTCATTACCAAAGGTCATAAATGGCTATTGTCAGGCAATCCCACATCCACGGTGGGCCCATTGCCCCTTGCTTTGCACACACAAGATGAAATTATATTTCTTCGGCTGACTGGAAATGACTAATGCTAAGCCTGTTCTCAAAATCTGGTTATTTTTATCTTCCACCTGTTTCCCCGCTTTGCCAAGAATAAAAGGAAAAACACGTTTGCTTTCAGTGATGGAAGGAAAAAATATGAGCTGTTCTATTTGGGGATCTATTCACATCTCCACAGAGCACCTCCCAGTTAAATATTAACACTAAACCCCTCTGTGTGCCGGCTGGCTGGTTGCTCTGGAAACCCACCCCCTGCAAGAACTCCGAAAGCAGAGGAGCCTCTGACTTAAGGCTCAGATTTTTAAATTAATGAATTAGTTGCAGTGCCAATGACATCGATGGAATTTTTTTGCTCTGAGTGTAAGAATTACATTGTAATCTTTGCATCAAACGACCTGATTTTTCTACGCACGGTACTGGGGAAGTTCATGGAATTCTTCAGTGCATTAACAGTGATAGAAACAGGTAGCTCTAGCTCTGCAGCTTGGGGAGACAGAGGGAGACAAGGCGGGTCTTGGTAGCTCTGGAGGAGAGTTTTTGCCCTTTGGGGAGAGAATCTGCAGACAAACGTTTCACTCACAGCTTCTGCTGGGTAAAATGAAACACTGTGGGTCTGCAGCGGGAGCTGATGGTATCGGCTGTCCCCTCCGTCACTGAGGCAGCTGC